AATCCTTCCCCCTCATTTATTTACACACTGTGTAAATACCCGCCGATCGGGCGGTCGAATCGGGTCAGAATATCTACCTAGGTCTATAGACTAGGTCTAGATCTAAATTGTTTCAGGCAGTCTATGTTGGGTTTCTTTTCTAATCACTCACACACACATTCATAATTCATTGAAGACGACAGAAGCAAACACACCGGATTCCATTGACAAGCGGCACAACCAAGGATTTCATTTGAACGAAGAATATTTTGTGTTATCGGCCCTGTCTGCTATTAATAGATCGCTCGGCTGGATACCGTGTCTAAAAATAATCTGCTATGTCGACGCTGTCTCAACGTTGTGTGGCTGCTACTGGCCAATCAGCGTCGTTAAACTCGTACTCGTCCAATGGGAGAGCTTCGTTGCGCTAAGGGTTTGGCGGACGGTTATAAAAGGGCCAGCAGCGCTGAGCTGCCGCATTTCCTTAACAGTCAGTTAAGATCATTCAAAAAAAAAAAAGATGGCTCGTACCAAACAAACCGCCCGAAAATCTACTGGAGGCAAAGCCCCACGTAAACAGCTGGCCACCAAAGCCGCCAGAAAGTCAGCACCAGCCACCGGCGGTGTTAAGAAGCCCCATCGTTACAGGCCTGGAACCGTCGCCCTGAGAGAAATCCGTCGTTACCAGAAGAGCACTGAGCTGCTCATTCGCAAGCTGCCATTCCAGCGCCTGGTCAGAGAAATCGCCCAGGACTTCAAGACTGACCTTCGCTTCCAGAGCTCCGCTGTCATGGCCCTGCAGGAGGCTAGCGAGGCTTACCTCGTCGGTCTGTTTGAAGACACCAACCTGTGCGCCATCCACGCCAAGCGTGTCACCATCATGCCCAAGGACATCCAGCTAGCCAGACGTATCCGTGGTGAGCGTGCTTAAGAGGTTTCTTTTAAGCCCAAACCACCACCCCCTGTCCTCAACCAAGGTCCTTTTTAGGACCACCTGACAACGTTCAGATTAGCAGTGAAGGTCCCCCACCTCACGAGTTTCCACCCACCCACCCACTACAACCCCCCTGCCCATGTCTGCCACTCTACTACTACTACTACTACTACATCTATTAGTATTATTCTGGGGGATGCGGGAGATAGGTTCTATTCATTTATCTCTTTAATTCAACTCACACATCACATTGCTATTTGAATTCGTGTATGCATGCTGTTGATATTGTTTTTATTTATCTCAAATGTGAAGAAAGGAGAGAATAAATTTTATATTTTTCTTTCACCCACCCACCACCCTATCCATTGCTTTTTAAAATATATATATAAAAAAAAAAAAAGAAAAACCCTTTAGGGTTAGAGCTAGATATCTAGATCTTAATCGGAGAGCAGAAATTATTCTTAACGACTACACGCCATAGATTATTTAATTATTAGAAGCCTAACTAACCTATTCGTTTCACGATGTAAACAAACCACTGCGAGTACGGAGCGGAGTACGAGAATATTATTTCGTTCGTACTCGACCAATCAGCGTTCGAGATTCTCTCGTACTCGCATAATGAGCTCGCTCGTACTCGCATAATTAGGTGTAGGGAAATATTTCAGTTTTATTCGCACAAAACGGTGAAAATAACGTCTAATATCATATTTTAACATGACAAACGTGGATCTTTTCTATGCCTACACGTGTGGGCAATGAAACTCTTTATTTTTTATCCAAGGGTCGCATAGCAGAATAGGTGAAAAAATGACTTTGAAAACGACACCGTTAGCCGACAAGCCAGCAACATTCCAGTCGACACGGCAAGCTGCTTTTTCATTGGCTGGCTCATTCGCCGACCGCTTTTGGTTGGGCGGTGTCCCGCCATATTGAACGAACTCGAGCCCAGGACCGTATATAAGGAGCGAGTTTCTCTGCAGACGGCGTTTTTCGAACCACTCCTTCATCAACAAAGAAGAAAAATTCAATATGTCTGGCCGAGGCAAAGGTGGTAAGGGACTCGGCAAAGGAGGCGCCAAGCGTCACAGGAAGGTGTTGCGTGATAACATCCAAGGTATCACCAAGCCAGCCATCCGTCGTCTTGCTCGCAGAGGTGGTGTCAAACGTATCTCTGGTCTGATCTACGAAGAAACCAGAGGTGTCCTCAAGGTGTTCCTTGAAAATGTTCATCCGTGATGCCGTCACCTACACTGAGCACGCCAAGAGGAAGACCGTCACTGCTATGGATGTCGTCTATGCTCTGAAACGTCAAGGTCGCACCCTGTACGGCTTCGGCGGTTAAACTCAACCCAGGACCACCCATTTGTTCTACCCATCCGGCCCTTATTAGGGCCACCCATACGTTTCCGAATTAGCTCGAGTGGTTGTAACCCTACACGAATGTTTTCCATACCTACCCCCTTATTTAACTTACTGAGTTACTTCTAATTATTAGGTTGTAGCCTACTTAGTTTATTTATTTAATTTGGGCAGAGTGGTCATCTTTCCTTTGTTGGTTTTTAAGGGGTTTGTTTCCATGGGTGGGTAGGATCGAGGTAGCCTACCGTGAAGGCACAAAAGAAACAAACAAAAAATATTTCGATATTACAAAAGTGTTCACAGGTATGTGGTGAACTTAGGAAAGAGTGCAGGTGGTAAGAATAGGTGTCCCAGTGGGGCAAAAAATAAAAGACAAAAGATGAAAAAAAAGTCTACAACACGTGGTGTTCCCAAGCGGTCACCCATCTAAGTACTAACCACGCCCGACGTTGCTTGACTGCGGTGATCGGACGAGAAACCGGTATTTTCAACGTGGTATGGCCGTAGACATCTGTGTGAGAAAATTGGGGCTTATAAATATACTCAAACGAAATCAGTTCGTCCTTTTCTGGCTACAATAATGATTTCACTGCTTTCCTCATATTATTTCAATAATAAAAAACGCCCTAAATCTCCACAAAAGCGAAACATTGTTTTAATATCGAATACTATGTGCCTTTTTTTTCCCTCTACAGCCATTGGTCGCTATTTTTAACCTGAGGCGGTAACCACCGGTAGACTTCCCTGAGCTACTAATTTTCGAGCATCGCGCGTTGTAAAATACAAAATAAATACATTTTCCCCATTTTCCTTGACTAAAATCAGAAAACCAGGTGCCCCCTGCATCCGACCTGTCCTTTAACTATCGCTTTCATGTGAAATGATCTATCGGAAAGGCGATACTTTAACTTTTTTGGGTCTCCCGCTCACTCACTCCTTCCGAAACATTCTGCACGAATTCATTCAATTTTAATCCAACTCATCACATAGATCTAGATCTAGCCGCCTACAAGTCTTACTAATTTAATGTTTGAGAAATAGTTCAATGCTTTTTCATTTATTAATTATTCTTTTAACCTTTTCCCACGACAACTGGCACATTTATTTTCAGTCTATTTAATATTCTGGCTTCATTTTAAAACACGCAACTAGGCGACGATCTAGAATTCTAGATCTAACGCTCTAGCTTAACTAAAATAATATAAACAGGAGGGTAGATCTATTCAAAATACTGTTTCAAAAATTACAATAATAATTTCACGGTGAAAAAAAAAAGGCAGGCGATCCATGGTTAATTAAATGCTAATTAAGGATGTTGCTTAAAAGGTTAGGTTGGCCTGGGACGCCAGTATTTCTCTAGAGTCTAGATCTAGAATTTCTAGATTCTGTAGGAATGAGTAGCCTAGGTATTAATAATTAAATGCATTAGTAATTATTAGTAAATAACATAAGATTTAGTTCAGTAAAAACTAATAGATCTAGATTTTAGGTCCAATGTTGGCTATCAGACTTGATGCTTGATTGTAATGATTATTAGGTTTGAGCAATTAATTTTTTAAACATTTTTTTTAATTATTAGTATTAGTGATAAGTCATCATTAGTGGGAGTAAATTTACTTCTTTCCAGTCTGGTTCTGGGTTTCCTTGTAGCCTATATAATCTAGATCTAGTTGGTGATAATATTAATAAATATTGTTTCCCATTTTAAATACTCAGGGCGGTTTGTTTGAAAGTCTGACCGCAGCTCCATATTCATTGACTGTCGAAGCAGCGCATAAAATGAATTAGCTTATATCCAGGGCTGGCCTGGTCTGCCTGTTATTGTGACTGAATTGTCCTACAGACAAGACCTGAAGAAGCCCTCGTTAAGTAATAAGTGTACAGCTTGCTTTTAGCCTGGCGCGGGGATCTTTCACCGGCCACTTTAACATTCTGCGACAGGGCAGGCCTTTACTTTAAGCTTTAATCTTAGCTGGTTCCGCTTTAACACAGGGTATTCTTTTGTCTTTAAGTATACCGCTTTCTTTCATCAGCCTGGAACCCTGTGTCTGCTACGGTATCTCATCCGGCAGGGCAAAACAATTTCCAGTTTTTAAATTAAGCTGATGTCATTTTTAATACCAATGATTAGGATTTTGGCACAATGCTTATTTTTCTATATACACAAGATGAATTTCACATCATTTTCTGATTTCAGTTTAAGTTTGAAAGCATGTAAAATGTCAATTTGTCCTGCTATGTGATTTTTCTTCATTTATTTTTTGCTAGCCCATGGCATCACATTATGAAGACTCTACTAATATCTTTAGGCTGGGGCCAGTACCTTAACCGACTGTCGTCAAATGAAAAAACTGACAGAAGAGCGCAATTTAATACACACAACAGATATATATGTATCCGAACAAACAAATAAATATATTTGAACATATATACATACCTTTATATACGCACACTGATATATACATATATTTACATAATAAATACATTATATATGAATATATCTATATATATAACTTATTTATTTATACATATATATATATATATATACTTATATATATATATATATATATATATATATATATATATATATATATATATATATATGTATTATGAATATATATATTAATTCTTATATAATATATATTTGTAAATATAAATTATATATATGTGTGTATATATATATCCTTCTGTTTGCTGGGGTAGAAGAAAAAAACTTATAATTATAATATTCTGAAGGATATTATTTTACTTGAGCGTCTTTCGTCTACACTCAAATATATATATTTGAATATACATTCAAATATATATTCAATGAATATACATTTAGACACACATGTAAATATATATATATATATATACACAAAACATGCATATATATACATACGTATATATAGACATATATACAATATTCGTCTATGTATATATATTCAATATTTTTACATTATAAATAAATATATATATAAAAATATATATATATATATATATATATATATATTTAAAAAAATATATACATATAAGAAATACTTTTTACACATATTTATTTATGCTTCTATAATATATGGAAGGATATTAATTTACTCAAGCGTCTGCCTTGGGTGTTTATATAAAAAGAGAAGGGTTGAACTAATGAGAGGAATAAAAAAAATCTTTATATTCAATCTAATTTATTTATATTGTATATGTTATAGACTGGCATACATTTTTTTCTCTCTGGTTTATGTGAAAGGAGCTTGCAGGGATTCAAATTATTATTTTTTGCATTGAAATTCATTCTTTATTAATCACAGCTATGTTGCAGGCATATAAATACTTCCCTTTGGGCTCAAGTTGCTTTGAAAGAATCCTTGTCAGTATAGAACTAGTACCAGGACCATAAATGTATGCCCCAGGGCAAATGTTAAGAAAACCTCATCATTTTAACAACTCCAACTGACCAGGGGCTTAAGAAATGATGCTTCTGCGCAAACTTTCTCGTCAGCCGGTAAGAGATCAACCTCCTTTTGATTGTTTAAATTTAATCTGTGCTGAAATCATTGTGCAGGCTGGCAAAGAAAACCATGAACTTCTTGAAAGCTGTGTACTTGAGCTCATGTTATTTTTTATTTTCTGTATTTTGAAAAAAAAAAAAGTATATATATGATAATAAAAAAAAAAAGTTCAGAGTATTTAATTGTTGTTTTGTCTGTTAAAGAGAATGTATGTTGTGCAGAAGTGTAACCAACTCATTTTCAAGCCAGGCCTAGCAAAAGACAAAACCAAAAGAATCATATGATATGATGGTAGTAGGAAAAAAGTATATCAGTGAACAAATGGTGGCAGATGCATGCCTTAGCAATCTGACATGGTAGCTTTAATGAAAGAAAAACAAAAATAATAAAAACACCAAAAGCCACACTCACACAGTTATGTTCAACATATATAATGAAGACAGAAAAAAACCAACCCACCAGAATGGATGTATTGTAATGAAAATGGCAGTTAGCACTGGTGATAAGAATCAAAGTGTTGGCTAATAATTCCTATTACAACAGCCAGCCTTATAATCTGAATTAAAACTATTAAATCCCATTCATCCCTTGGATCTATGCCAAACAACACACAATAAATGATATGCATAGAGGTGTGCTGATGCCCTGTGTGAGATGCAGAATGAAATAGTGTTTTTTAAAAAAAAGGAGCCACCCAGTAATAAGTATGTGGCCTTTTTATGTCTAGTTTAAAGGATAGAATTAGCATGAAATGTGTTAAGAGAATAGTGTGTGCAGTTGTTGGGATAGGCATATTACTATGTAGGCCTATGTATGTATGTATATCTATCTCTACTTATTAAAGAAAAGAATGACTAAACAAAAAAAAAAACTGTAACATGGCAGCTACACAGAGTGGGTGGGTGGATGAGGGAGGGAGGGAAAACTCGTTCAATGTAAACCAAACCGAGCTAATTGGGAATGGGTGGAGGCCCTGAAAAGGGCCGAGTAGTAGAGCCACAACAAGCAAGCCAGGTGGTTGTTTGCTGTTGTGTTTATTGCTGGTGGTGTACTTGGTGACAGCCTTGGTGCCTTCACTGACGGCGTGTTGGCCAGCTCACCGGGCAGGAGGAGACGGACAGCGGTCTGGATCTCCCTGGAGGTGATGGTGCTGCGCTTGTTGTAGTGGGCAAGACGGCTGGCTTCAGCTGAAATGCGCTCAAAGATGTCGTTGACGAAGGAGTTCATGATGGACATGGCCTTGGAGGAAATGCCAGTGTCAGGGTGCACCTGCTTCAAGACTTTGTAAATGTAGATGCTGTAGCTTTCCTTTCTCCTCCTCTTCTTTTTCTTGTCACCGGTGCGTACGGCTTTAGCCTTACCGGCCTTCTTGGCTCCCTTGGAAGAAACTTTAGGTGGCATGTTGTTTTCTTTTCAATGGCTTGAACAGAAATGAGGCGAACCGACCGCCGGCCGCCCTTTTATATGAAACGGCGAGGAAATTTGGGAGAGTACGAGTACGAGTACGAACGCCAAGCGCTGCGCAGCCAATCAGAACGCTCGCTTGGTGACGAACGGATTTCCTCGCCGTTTCGTATAAAAGGGCCGATCTCGCCGTTAAGTCTTCATTCATCGCCTGCAGCCGTATCGCTGTTAGTCGCTGTATTTCTTCTCGCTCCTACCAACTCACAATGTCCGGACGTGGTAAAGGCGGTAAAGTCAAGGGAAAGTCCAAGTCTCGCTCCTCCAGGGCAGGCCTTCAATTCCCAGTCGGACGTATTCATCGTCTGTTGAGGAAAGGAAACTATGCTGAGCGTGTCGGTGCTGGTGCCCCAGTCTACCTAGCCGCCGTCCTCGAGTATTTGGCCGCTGAAGTGCTCGAGTTGGCCGGCAACGCTGCCAGAGACAACAAGAAGACAAGAATCATTCCTCGTCACCTCCAGCTGGCCATCCGTAACGACGAAGAGTTGAACAAACTTTTGTCGGGTGTCACCATCGCCCAGGGTGGTGTCCTCCCCAACATCCAGGCCGTGCTTCTGCCC